TATGTCCTTCTAGCTTCAGCCTTATGATCTTTTCTGGGTTGCAACAGGAAAGCCTGATCTGCAGGAATGTTGTTTGGGGTTTGCTCACCAAAAGCGAGGTCCACCAACTGGTATAATTGATATTATCTAGGGTTCTCACTCAATATGCAGAATTTTGGGCCTTAGGTCAGATCTACTGAGTCAGAATCTACATTTTTCACCAGATCTCAGGCAGTTCACATGGACATTATAATTCAAGAAGCTCCTAAAAACTTTGAGAAATGGGGAGTTCTGTACCTTAGAATTTCACTCTCATATATGGAGTTTCAGATTCACTTTTTAAAATGTTGATTTATGGCTATTTCAAAGTTTAACAGTTTAATAGCCTAGTACTCAAATACTCAGTGTTCTTAACTATAAACTTTTGGGTTCTGCTCCAGGCAGCACAGCTGATAACATAAGTCTGCTCTAAACACAAGTGTCTGATTTGTCAACTTGTTCACATGGGGAACATCCCTGTCCCACACCAATGTGGCAACAAAGGTATCTGTGAGAAGAGCCAGTTTTTTTTTCCTTATAAAGGCTTTGAATTTTCTCAAACACTGTGAACAAATGTTTGGTTTGGTTCCCAGAGTTCTTGGCACATAAAGCATAAAGGGATAATTTTGGATTGAAAATTTCTCAGGGCAGTTGTTACTACAAGTGACCTTGATCACAGAAAAAGAGTCTTCTAATCTACCTGATTTAGGATAGATCTGTCTGTTGATTGTCTGCCTGGTCTGAGTTTATGCGAAGTGTATCCCAGTTTTGCCAAGCAGTTGACCTGTTGGGTTGAGTTCTTTGGTGCTGTCCACTTAAATAATGGAGAATGTCTATCATGCACAGCAATTTTATACTTGTCAGAGTTATAAGACTTTTTGCCATAATTATCCAACAGGTTCAGCTGCTTCTTAAGACAGTCTTCACTTATAAGAATAAAATCATATCATAAAAAAACAGTATTTCTATACATTTGAATTCCCCAGGAAACTATACAACATACTATTTCCTGCATTTTCCAATAGACCTGACTTAATTGGTCTGTGGGGGAAGGGGTTCTGGGTTTCTGTGTGTATAGACTTTCTCAGGTAAATCTAACATGCAGTCAGATTTGACAGTCACTGTCATGGAAGAAGGGTTTTATTTTTTTTTTTTTGGGTGGTGGTGGTAGTACTGGGTTTGGTCTCAGAGTTTCACACTTGCTAGGCAGGTGACCTATTGCTTGGGCCACACCTCCAGCCCAAGGATTTTATCTTCTGACTTGACAATGTTCATATATTCAATGAGTTTAATAGCTGTGTCATAATTTTCAGATATGTTAAAAAATAAGACAGACTCACTTACTAGCTTTGCACCTTTGAAGGAATCACTTAAGTTCCATAAACCTCAGTTTTCTCTTTTCTAAAATGGGTCTAATTATTTCTTCTTCTATAAAGCAGGGGTAATTATTACATTAGAAGGTGGTTGTGGGAATTTAAATAAAATAATAAGGTACTAGGACAGTACCTAGCATATAATAAACAGTCAACAAAGTGGGAGTTATTACAAAGAACAGTGGACATGACTGTTGTACACTCAGAAATGGAACCAGCCAACCTCTGGGTCTGATGGTGGAGTCATGACACAGGCTTTGACAAAATAGTTCTCTACTGAGGTTACACGACTGACCCCATAGAAGGCACCTGAAATAAGTTCAGGGAATGCTTCAAAGAAGCCCCTTATCATTCCTAACTGTCTTAAATGAACAGAGTGGAGCAGTGATCACTGAAGTGGATTAGTTATACCTAATATCCACTCACTCCTCATAGAAAGAGAAACCTATTCCAGAAATCCTCTGAGAAGAAAACTGCCAAAAAGAAGCAAAGGACATCCTGGGAGACAGTAATGGGCCTCAAATTTGAGAATTAGTCTGTTTCCTTTTTTTGAAAGGGTGTTCATGCTATAAGCCTTTAAGAGCCCATAAAACGAATTGAAGTAAATATGTGATGAGAAATATCCTTCTTAGAAAATTAGTCAGAAATCTCCTGGATTTTTTTTCTATTTAATTTTAGGTTATTAATCAGATATTGTAAATAAATGTCTTCTCTATCTTTTCTTTTTAAAACCACTGTTCAATATAAACATGTGAGATATATGTGTGCATGTGTGTGTTTGTGTATATATATATATATATGTGTGTCACTTAAATACAAAGCAGGATTTTTTAAAGTAGAGCCATAGCACTTTAAGAACAAAGGATTTCTGCTAGGGTGAACTATGGAATCTCCACAATGTGATGCTAATGTCAAAATAATATGAATTTTATTGAAATCACTTTCTTGGTTCTCAATCAAAATACTAATTTTACACTATTCTTGTAGAAGCCATACGAGGATGCCCATATCTCAAGTTTGCATTTTAAAAAATCTGGCCACTTTGGCTGAGCTAAAAACCTCTCATTAAAATAGATTCTAAAATATAGGAACTGTTTGTTGGATAGTTAGAATATACCTATATACCTGTGATGTTAACTGAACTCTGGCTTAATTTGAACCTCTTTTCTAGTCCATTTCCAGAGTGGCCTTTATTAAACAGCTGGTTATGTTATTCTACCACTCAAAAAGTCCTTAACAATTTCAAATCAATGACCTTAAGTTGGCATTCAAGGCCCCACAAATCTGTCCCCAAACTGTTCTCTAACTCTAACATTTTCCAAATGTTCTGTGGGGGGCATATCCTGGCATTTTTGCTCACTCTGTCACTTTTGAGAGACCATTTCTGCTTCATTTCTGTCTTTCAAAGCCTTCCTCACTCTGTGCCCTGCTCAGAGGTTCTCTTCTCCATAGTAGAGATCCAGTCCCCACCTCAGCCCGTTCTCGTCTCAATTTCACATCTTACTCACTTAGTGTCTTACAGAGCTTCATATCACTGCTACAGCGATGATTATTATTTTCCTTGTGTTAGCAAATATTTGGGGAAAAATAATAATCTTAAGGGGACAGGATATGAACTTTTCAGTTAGACTAGACCTGAGTTAAAATTGTCGTTCTTGAGCAAGTCACTTCATTTTTATGAATTTCGGCTTATTCATTTATAAAATGAAAATTTTCCCAGATGTATCTGGATCAGTAGGGGAAGTTTATGAGAATGTACAGATAAATGTCGTCAGTAAGGGATAGTTCAAATTATCACAATTTAGGGCTGGAGGAGTGGCTCATGTGGCAAATTATCACAATTATTCAGATGATCTTCCCTGCTAGCTCATTTACATTACCTTGCAGCCTCTTACCCTCCAGAGTGCTTTCTGTATTGAATGGAAGCAACCCAAATTGTTGGCATCTGCTGCCTGGATCTTACTGAGCTATTAGTTTTTCAACATCTGTTTTAAGTTTCAGAAAGAAATTTCCATTTTTAGGCAACAGCAGCATTTTTTCTGTAACATTTCAATGTGTCTCAATCCTGCAATGATTATAAATTGTGCTTGATAGAATCCAAGTCAGCAAAACCATGGAGGGTAGCCCAGCCTGTGAGTACCTCTCCTTTACCTAGGCCTACGAGACCATAACCTTCTTCACAAAGATCCTGAACAACAAGGAACACAGTGTGAGATTTTAATAACATTGCCCTTTGCTCAGATGTTTAAATAGCAGCAATAATGGAGCTTGAGAAGCTCTTAATTACCCACTATACTTAGAGACAGGGGAAGTACAGGTCATAGAAAGCCTGGTTTTCTTTGACATCTAAAATACTGATAACAACACAAGATGCACTCATGATGTGTTCCTCATGACAATTATTGATTCTCTTTTCTTGATTCACAATTCTCTTATAAAACTACCCAAGGAAGCAGCCACTGCTGTCTCCAGTAATTTCTGAATCATTTTGTATAGAAAGCAGAATCTTCCAAAGCACTATGCTTCCTAAATCCTCTGAATACTTATTTTTTCCCCTTCCAGTATAAATGTAGCATATAGGGAACACTGAGGGGAAAAGCATGAAGTTTGAGGAGACTCAACTCCCAGAGGAAAAAGTTTTGACTGTCAGAAATGACGAAACTGTTGTAAGAATATTAAATCAGCCAACCTAATTATGAGATATAATTGTGGTTATGTTTTTGTGTCAAGATGAATAGTTCAATTCTCTTTATCAAGATAGAAAATGAAAATCAAGGGAAAGGCCAGAGCAGACAGGATCCCATAATTAGGAGAAAGTACCTCGTCCTATGTACAGCAATGTTTCAGCACCAAGGACAGGACTTTATTGGGCTTGATACCCACACTATATAACTAATAAATTTTAAATGTCTAAAAATTTTCACTCAGATGATTATGTACTCATCTACATATTGTTTTTCTGAGTATTAGTTTTATGTCAGATCTTGGCATAACATACAAAGATGTACCTGCCAGTTACAGCTCTAAAGGTAAAAGTAGGTAAGAGATAAGCAAGGGAGGCAAGTTAATAAGTGATTATATTACTGTATGACAAGTGCTACTACAGAGTTGTGCACAAGTTATGTGGGAGCCATGGGAGGGAATAATTAACTCTGACTGGTGCAAAGGAAGACTACAAAGGAGTTGACCTGTAAGCTGGATTTTGAAATTTTAGTAGGGAGAAGAAACACCATGAAAGAGAACACAGTGTGTTTAGAGATTTGATGTGGATGAAAAGCAAGGAGAATGGAGAAAAAAGGATTAAGCTAGATCAGAGGACCAAGGCCTAAACTCAAGTTAAGGGAGTTAGACCTTGTTCTGGAAAAATGGAAATCCACTGAGTAGGGCAAGATCTGATCAGATGTGTGTTTTAGAAAGATAATTCAGACAACAGGAAAATAGACTGAAAACAAGAAGAAATAGGGGGAGGGCAGAAGGACAGATGAGGGTGACATTTCTCCATAAGAAAATGGAGACCATGGCTAGCATAACCACAATTAGACAGAATTTATTTGCCCAGCGTTCATTTGCTGCTCACCAATGTTTCCCCTATGGATTGTTTTTCTCCAGATTCCTCCAAGAAGATAAAGGATGTCTTGACTGAATTTAATGAGGGCGGGAGCCTCAAACAATATGACCCACATGAGGTAAGAACATTTCCACTTAAGACTTTTTAAAAAGTGGGTGTTCCAGCCTTTCCACAACTTGTTCTCCTCTTGGAGTCTTAACTAGTTTCTCGACGTGTTTTCTCCAAAGTCTCAAGCAAGCCATTATATATTTCCCACATCCTTTTACCCCTCCTTCTACCCAGTAGACTACCTTGTACCTTCTCCTCTACCTCAGTGTTGCTCTTTCTCCTCTCCTCATTCTCAGCTAACAACTGAAAGAAATGGAAGCAATAAAAAAAATATCTTCTACAAGCTCCCTCACACACATGCCCACCTACCAGCACCTTTTCTCCCACAACTCAGGGTAAGCTGTCCGTGCTCTGATCTAAGTCCAACTGCTCCTCTTGTGCACTCAATCCCACCCTCTTTAGGCCTTTTAACAGGCATTGTAAGGCATCTTCTTGCTTTGCCCCTTAACTCTCTATCTCTAGTTCTCTGATTTTCATGTCACCTTCCCTGTATTAGATTTTTCCCATTGATACATAAACAGCATTATTATATTTTTAAATGTTCTTCTAACTCTACTTTTCCCTTTACCTGCCATCTCATTTTTTCCTGTCCTGATAACAAAGCTATACAAAAGAGTTGCCTATACTCATCACCTCCAAGTTCTCTTCTTCCTACTTTCTTGAAAGTTCTACACTCAGTGTGTAGCTCCCATTCCTCCACTAAAACCACTAATAAAGATGGCCAACAACCTCCATGTGGCTAAACCAAATAGCAATTTTACTCAGTGGTACTTGAAACAGTTGGTCAACTCTTCTACTACTTTCTTCATTTGGTTTCAGGATATCACACTCTCCTGGTTTTTCTCTTAAGCCTGCACTTGACATTTCCACTTAAAAATCAAATAGGAATCTCATATTTGCCATGAGCTAAAATGAAGTCCTTGATCTTTCCCTATGAAACCTGTTTTTTTCAGCAGTCTCCCTTATTTCAGTCAATGACAACTCCACTCTTCAAGTTAATAACCCAAACCTATGGAGTCACCATTGACTTTTTTCTTGTTCCCACCTCCCACATCCAGATCATCAGAAAACTTTCACTTCTACCTTCAAAATATATTCACAATCTAGCAGGATCTCACTACCTGCCCCCCTACCATCCTGACCCTGTGTCATCACCATACTTTGCTCAGATTTTTGCAAGAGTCCCCTAACTGGGTTCCCTGCTTCTTCCCTTACCCTTCAAAATCTATTCTTCACACACATCCTGAGCAACTTGTTAAAACATATGTCAGAACTTGTCACTACTCTACTGGACAATCTTTCATGGTTCCCTGACTCCCTACTTATAGTAAAGGTCAAGGTCATCACAATCTGTACCTCCTCCTACTCTCTAACCTCATCTCTTGCTACTCTCTCCCTCCTCATTCCCTTCTGTATTAGCTTCCTTGCTGCTATCAAACAAGCCCATGTTGCTGTAGCCTCAGCACCATGCTACTTGCTGTTGCCACTTCTTGGGATGTTCCTCCCTGATATCCACGTTATTCGGTCCCTGGCCTCCTTCAAGACTATACTCAAATCACTTTCTCAGTGACTGGCATCTTATTTATCCAAAATGTGAAGCCCTCTTTTCTGACACTTCCTATCCTACTGTTCTGCTTTATTTTCTTCTTAAGTACTCCTCACCATCTGTCACACTATATAAGTTACTTAATTAATTCTCTCTCTCCCACTAGAATATTTTTGTTCACTGCTGTGTCTCCAGTACCCAGAAGAGCATCTGACTCATAGCAGGCATTTGATAAATATTTGTTGAATGAATGCGGGACCTCTTCCTATTTTCAAATTCAATATATCTAACATTTTGGGAGCATTGAGACCCTGTGCTGAACACTATATAAGATAGGAAGATGAAGAAGCAGCCCAGTGTAGTGGTTCACATCTATAATCCCAGCACACAGAAGGCAGAGGTCAGATGATTTCAAGTTTGAAACCAGCCTGGGCTACATAGCAAGACCTTATCTCAAAAAAAGAAAAATAAAGAAGCGCTTTTCTGCCATCTGGAACTTACTGCCTACTGACAGAGTTCAATTCTAAAACTATGATCCTAGAGTTACATGGTCTTAGATTAACCTCATATAATAGTTCACCTCTTTGAGCCTCACTTACCTCACCTGTGAACTGAAGATAACAAAATATATAACTCTTAAAGTTTGTAGATGAGTAAATTAAATGAGAGAATTTTTGCAGTATAGGGTACTTTACAGTACATTCTAAAACTGGTACCATATCAGTCCTTTTCTCCCTCTTTCCCCAGAATGTTTTAAACTCATCTCCCTTTTCCCTACTTATAGGTCCTTTATGAGGGCTAACTGCAGAAAAGTGACAGGTCAGCAGGACTAACTCAGGGACAGACTGGCATCTTACTTATTCATGCTGTCATCCATTAACAAACCTGAGCCAACCAACACCTTCTCTGCTGGAGAGTGGGAGTGAATCAACAGAGAGCCTGTGCTCTCATGCACCAGTCACTGGGAAAATGAAGCAAAAGGGAGGTTGCCAGAACAGAGGCAAGAATGAGAATGCACTGGTTCAAAGTACATTCCTGAGGAGAAGCCATGCAGAGAAGATGGCAGAACCAGCAAAGAACTCACTGCCTCACACTCCCACCCCCAACTCTAAAAGCACGGGAACAAAGGCTGGCGGGGGCTGCTAATCAGCCTGTCTGCCCCCAGAGACTGACATGTGGGAGGAGAACAATTTGGTTAGGGCCACCATGGGTGTGAAGGGCCATGGGAGCTTTCAGAAGCAGGTAGCAGTTTGTCTGTTGTGAACATGGGCCGCCCTCGCCTCCATCAGGCTGGCCCTCACTCTTTGTATGCCTGCTACTGCTGCATCCCAGGGGAGCTCTGTCACTCTGTCACTTTGATTTCATTCTCTTACAGCATGCACTTGACTTCTAGTAGGTGTAATGTCATGGCACAGGGTTGGGGAAACAACAAAATTTAATTTCTCTTGAGCTTGATGGCTTCCTGCTGCTAAAATGTCTCAACGAGAAAAGAGCTGGAGAAAGGGGCAGATTGCTAAGAAAGCTAGGGCATGAATAGAAGCTTGCAGAATAGTGGGGCTGCATCTGGCATTATGAATGTGCCTTGGCACATCAGTGTCAAGTGATCCTCTAAAGAAAAGAACAGTGGCAGACAGCTAGAGAGTAGACAAAACCCAGCAGAGCAAAAGAGGCAAGTGGCTTGGTGGTACCATGCCTGGTCTCATTTCTGAACACCAATTCCAGTTCTGCTATGTGCTTTGTGACCCTGGGCAGGTTAGTTATGTTGTCAGAATTTGTTTTATCCAAACAAAATGACACTAGTAGTGGCCCCTCACACTGTTGTGTTGAGAATTAAAGTACCTGATACTTGGGAAGCTCCATGATACGTGGTAAGCTCCTCCCTTCTGGACGTGGGTTAGAGTTAACTTGCTCTCTTGAAACAGGTTAAGCAATAGCAATTGTCCAGCTAGTTGCAGTTGCCCAGCTAGTTGCTGCATTAAATTTGCAGCTGCTGATGGGAAAACAGAGTTCCTTTGATCTGAATGATGAAGGTGACCACGATGTTAGTCCAGAGTTCAGAGAATTGCCAGTGTGCCTTGGTAGTGGTTGTTAACTGGTTTGGGCTTAATACCCAGAACTCCCCACCTGGTTACTTACTACACATTTCTTAAGCAGCTACTCTGCTCTTGGCCTATGCTCGTAAAGGACTTTATTATAAGCCAGATATTACTTTGAGAGGGGTACGCAGTCACTTTCATTTGCCTGATGATCTTGTAGAAAGAGGGACAAGAAGCACAATGCCAGTACTGAGACCCAAGACAGATATAGTAGCAGACTAGGAGTCAGGCTAGGAATCTGAAGATCTGGCCTCTGGTTTTACTCTGCCTCTTGTAATTCTGGGGCAAATCACTGAATCTCCTGAGCCTCAGTGGCTGAGGAGACACAGTTTCACTAAGGCTTTTCTGATGAATGTTCTGCATTTCCAGGTTTATTCTATACCAGACCATTCTCCAGGATAGGGTATGCCATGGGTTCCAGTATAATTACTTTCTAAGCTCTCATAAAATTATGTCAGTTCTCCTTTGACACTTGACACTGCTGAAGGTTTTTCAGTACCTTTACCTATATATATAACACTGAGTCTCTGGAAGGTATAGACCCAAGCCTAATTTGTTGATATGTTCTCCATGGGTGCCCCATACTGTGCCTGGTACTTAGGAAACTAAGGATAGTGAGATACATAGATGATTGATAGACAATAGATAGATAATAAACAGATCCCACAATAACTGATGGCAGCCAGGGGACAGGCATAGGCCACACATGTAATGTACCAACTAGGAACCCATCTTCCATTCATACACCTGTCAAGAAACATTGTGATGCGTGGTTTGGGGGATATAAAAGTGAAATAAGACATTCCAAGAGTTGTGGATCTAATGTCACAAATAACTATATATCCATACAGAGAAGCACATACAAGTTTTGCAAAATAGGAGCAAAGGCACAAATTACAGAAATTCGGGTACAGGAGATCCTATCAGGCTTTATGGTGAAGGTAGCATCTGGATTGGGCCTTAAGGCGTGGCTCAAATTTTAATAGGTAGGGAAGGAAGTGGTTCCTGTGGAGTAAAATTCAGAGAGGCTTGGTTAGGAAAGAATGCAGAGACCAATGTGGACAGTGTGCATATCTGCACATAGGGGATAATAAGAAAAAATAGCAACATGGTCTGAGAGCTTGAAGTAATTACAAAACTGTTTGTAGTGGGATCATGGAGAGGTTCTAAATCCAAAAGGTCTCAGAGAGTACATAGGATCATCCATTGGATTGTAGGAACACTACATATTAGGTCTTCTACTTATATTCATTTTTATCTCATCTAATTTGCCTATATTTTATAGTGCCTAGTATGGAGCACAGTAGTGCTCAACCAATCTCAACTCTCTCATGGGCAATTAGAAGCCATGGAAAGTTTTTGAGTAGAGAAGCAATCTTATCAGAGTTGTGCCTTGGGAAATCAACCTGGCAAAATGCATAAGACAGATGGGACAGGAGGACCAACAGATGGTGGGGGTAGGGGGGCAAGGACACCCTGGACGTGTATTACAGTGGCACTGGTAAGCCTGAAACAGAAATTTGATGCTTTGATGATGGCACCAGGGACAATAGACACAGAGAAGGTCTGGATGTAATAGACATTGCAGAGAAACAGTGTACAGAACAAAGGGACAAGAACTAGTCTCAAGTCACTGAGAGTTCAAAGCTGAGTCTAGAGTATTTTCATTAGCATTTACAGAAATGGCAGAGTCAGGAAGAGGAGCTGGTTTAGGGAGGAAGCTATACAGAAGTTCAGAACTTGAGAACTGTAGCCCAGCATTCATAATTTTCTTTAGAAGAAACTTAAGAAAAGACAGATCTGAGACCAGTCATAGTTTTCCTGAGTCTCACACTGATCTCATTCAGTGATCTTGTGCCTTTGGTTTTTTGGGGTTTTTTTTCACAGCCTTATATTAGACTTTGTTTAACTAAGGTTTCTTTTTGTTAAGTCATTTAGTACTAGAAATATTTTATTCTGACAGTTTTCTATTTGATGCTAACGAGAAGAGATCAACAATAAATTTGGAGACTCAGAGCTACAGTTTAAAACAGGATTGTCAATTAAAATAGTGCAAAAAGAACTCTTTGAAATAAGTTAAGGAGCAAGACTATTAGCAAAAATTCCATAAAATCAAAGTAGAGAATGAAGAGAACCAAATAGAACCCTGTAGAAAATAGTTGCAGGCAGAAGAGAGGATGAAATGCTGCAAAGAAACCAAAGATGAGAGAGTTTAAGAGGAGACAATTGAATTTACAATTTCCAAGAAAGCAAGTTCAGAGGTAAAAGGCTGGAACTCAGACTGAATGGAATTAAGAAAGTAAGGAGGATAACATGGTCTGTTGGGAGAAATTTGAAGGATAAGGGAAGAAGGATAGGCTAGCTGCTCAAATAGACAGCAATTTCTTTGTAATAGTGGACAAAGAATGCTTAAGCATGCAGGTAGAAAACAAGCAAATGCTGGAAGATGCAGACACAGCAAGGGTGGAAGCCAAGGATCATGGCGGGTGGGTTAGATCTGGAAAGTAGGTACTGGGAAAGTATGTAATGAGAAAAGGGAGAAGGATGCCTAAGGAAGGGTCATTCCCTGTGAGACTGTGAGAACAGAGAGGATCAGAAAGAGTGTGAAACAGACACAGACTTGGGGACAGAAAAGGGACACAGAGAGATAGGTAGTTGTCATAATGAGTGTGAATCCACCATTTGCTAAGAGGTCCCTTAATCTGGTAAGAGCCTCTGTCCAACTGAATCAGGCTTCTTCTACCCTCAAAGGAGGCCTGTAGGACAGCACAACTAGTACTAGGCAGAAATTGTTTCGTGAGCTCCTGGTGAGGTAGGAATCATTTAATTGTAGGGCCAAGACTTGGAAATCACACTTGGTTATATACATGTAAATCAGCTCCTGACTCTGGGAAGGCTCGCAGATCTCCCAGAACAGACAAGGGGAGAGCCAAGTAGACTTCCAAAAAGGGGTTTTATTCTCATGGCTGTTATTATTCACAAAAGCCAACACAGCAGATCTTGGAGTAGCGCTTCCTCAAATGATTTCCAGGAGCTTCTGTCAATTTGATGAAGATCTGATACCATGAAAGCACAAGCTGGTGATGACTCACAGCAAACTGTTGTTTTTGGTTTTTTTTGTTGTTGTTGTTGTTGAGTGTTTGCTGAGTACAGCAGGCCTTTCTGGCATGGCTGCTTCTAGCCTGGGATCAGAAGCCAGGGAGTAATGGGAGAGACACAGCAGGGAGAGTGTCAAGATGTTGGCATGTCTCTTAGTTGTACCTTCTGTCCTTGGCTTCCTGCTCTTCTCCTGGTGCCTAAAACCTTCACAAGAACATGTTGTAGGAAGCAGCTGCACTACGCACAATCCCCTGTCATCTTGGGATTTATCCTGGGGAGATCAGAATTGTGAAAGATGGAGCCTGTCCTTTTCTCTTCCAGCTCTCTTCTATTTTCTGAGACCAAATACTCAGAAATCACATCCCTCATGGCACAAGAGGAAAATTAAGACACCACAGAAGAACCCTTCTTCCCACCATCTTTTTCACTACATCCTTTTTCTTCTTAACTGGGATTCCAGGGCACTGACCTAGTCCCTGCTCATTATAGCCACATCCAGGGCAAAGGCAAAGCCTTCCCCTTCAGAGCTCACTCTCCATCACCTCCTTTTTTATGTACACTTAGACCACATCATATCTTGTCACAAAAGCCCCCTCTGTTTCTATGCCCCACTGAGCCGTGATGTGTAATCACAGTGTTTTCTCTGCCTTACATCCCACCCCCTGCTCCTGCACTTGTCACTCTCTACCTTCTCCCTGGCCTTTTCATTCCTGCCCCACCAACCTCTCCACTTCCTCGCTTCCCTCTCTATTACCCTGCCATCTCCCTGTCTCCTTCTCCTCCTCCTTTTTGTCCCTTCACTTCTCTCCACTGACCTTTCTCTTTTTGCTCCTTGCAGCCAATAAGCTACGATGTCTTTAAGCTGTTCATGAGGGCATACCTGGAGATGGACCTTCCTCAGCCACTAAGCACACACCTCTTCCTGGCCTTCAGCCAGAAGCCCAAACAGGAGACCCCTGACCTCCCAAAGGAAGGGGCCAGCAGCTATGAGCCAAATAGCCCAGGTATGTGGACTAGATTTCCCCAAGATGGGGGTAAGGATAACCCCTTACCGTAGATACAGTCCACATTCCTAGAGGGTTCCCTGGGGATAGTCACGTCTCCATGAGACAGAAATGGGGACTCTTCTTCATAGGCATCCATGTCTGGTGAATCCCTTAATTAAAGGAATAAAGACAGGGACAATCCTGCCGCTCAGGATGGAGGCAAGACAGGGCACAAATTAACATGCGACTGGGGAAGAAAGCTTTCTGCAAAGGTTCTGCTCTGTGGATACAATACACATAGCATGTGTCCAGGCTGGACTATCCAGGGACTATCAGCCACGAACCTCCTGGAGCTTGGGCTGTGAAAAGGAAGACACAGCTGATAGTAATGCTGGGACTCAAACACAACCCAAATGAACCAGGTCACATGGGAAAGCCCCCAACATAGCTAAAGGCATAGACTAGCCTTTAAATCTTCTTTGTGTTCCCTAGATTCTAATCAGAATGCAGATAATGCTACCAAAGCAGATGAGGCCTGTGCCCCTGACACTGGTAAGTCTTTGGAACGTAAGACCTGTGGGAGGAGTAGGGAATACCTTATCCTTGGGGAAGAATGGTAATGCCTGGTTAACAGTTTTGTCTCCATATAGTTGTGGGCTTTTGAGATGACATAAAGGTTCTTGCTTCACAGCAGGTCTGGTCCTGTGACAGCTTGCTAGGTGTTTACCTCTGACAGGTCTTCCTGCCCAGAGTGGAAGAACCTTCTCAGAAGAAGTGTGTGTGTGTGTGTGTGTGTGTGTGTGTGTGTGTGGCTCTCAGGATGACATACAAATGACTCTACCAGCAGATGGCTGGAGACAGTACGGCAGGTGTGTAAGTGTATGCCCCGTTGACTTTCAAATGCATACACCATTTTGAATGAATTGAGGAGTTGCTAATAAGTCAGCAAGAAGAAGACAACTAAAACTGTTTTGAAGATGTTTTCCATGCACCTGTTTATTACATATTCCTTTACCATCACACCACTTCACACATGAGGAGCTGAGGTTTTAGGAGAGTGTATACCACTGGTGACTTGTGGAGATGGGAATTCAATCCAGATTTGTCCAACCTCAAGGCCCCTGCTGTCTTTCCTACACAGAGAGAGGAAGGCAGAGCTTCTCTTGAGGCAGTGGTTTGCTTCCATGTAAAGGTGCTACGTGGTGACCATGGCTACACTCTCAGTGGGGCTGCTATTATATCAGCTGTTCATAGGCCCACTCTGGTGCTGTGGCAGATGTGGAATCTTCCCTGGCATATACAAACAGGAAGCCATTTCTCTGGGCTATTGACAGGCCCAGGACCAAAGTCAGGCGCTCCTAAGAAAACAGGAGTAAACAAAGGTTGCCATTTTTTACTTTTGTTCTCATGTCCAATATACACTCTCCACCTAAGTTGGATCAGGCAATAGAGAATATTGATGAAGAATCTGGACTTCAAAGCCAAACTGCCTGGATTTGATTTCCATCTCTAACACTACCTAGCTCCAGAACCATGGGCATGTTCGAACAATGTCTCACCTGTGTCCCTGGTTTCCCATCTGTAAAATCAGACAATAAGAAGTGTCGTTTTGAAGGTTAAGGTAAGTTAGATGTGTAAATCCTTAGAGCAGTTCCTGGTACAAAGTAAATGTGTAGTAATATTAGCAACGATTAGTGAGCCCCCACCAGAAATATGCTCTGATCTTAACTCATCATCTTCTACCAGCCTCTCCTTCAGCTGCACCCTCCATCTCCTGGTGTCAGCTGGGCACCCTGCTCTCATGAGAGGATGGGAGGTCACTCATGGACTCTCTCCAGGTTTCTGTTGAAGTCTTAAATATAAAGACTTGGATTCAGGTCCTGTTTACTGCACATTACCATTTTGTTGAAAAGATTTATAGATGTGTAGAGATGAATGCAACTCCTTGGAGAAAAAAATGCAATTTTACTATATATTTCAAATGTGTATATACATATATATACACATATATATGTATAAATGTGTATATACATATATATATATATATATATATATATATATATATATAAAATAGATAAGAGGTACTACAACTGAAGGAGAAGGGAATAGTTGTAACAGGAACCTGGGATGAGAGAATTTTTTCATGTGGACTCTAGCTTTTGCTCTAATCTGTTTTCCAGTCCTAGCCAAATGGGAAACTAAGAGGATTATAGAGTTTTCAGTGTTTAACTGAAGAACTGGTGAGACTTAAATCAGTTCACTATTAATAGAAAGCAGAGCATGGTTTGGAAAAGGGAGAGGCCTCTGGACTCTAACCTCAGCAGTTCCAGGCTGTGGAATTAAGTACAGAGAAAGTATTCTCCATGCAATGATGGATACATGTCATTCATTATAGCTCCAGAGAGCAAGGAAGAAGGGCATCGGTGCCTTCTTAATGCTTGGACAATGGCGGCAAGGCAAGGCTACAAAAGTGTTGGCTCACCCAACCTGCCCAACACCCCACCAGCTGTGTTTGGTCCATGGCCCCTTCATAAAATGAATTAAAGGCATAAATAAGTCTTACGTCTCATACAGAATAGAAGAGGCATATTCCGACTTAAATCATTCTCATCGTAGGAAAGAAAGTAGAGAACTAGAAGCTTTGAGATTTTAAATTCCCAGCCAGAAAATTAATGGTGAAGAGCAACTTCCCCAATTTCTTTTTTTTTTAATTTTTATTTTATTCATATGTTTTTTTTTCATTTTTCTTTTATTATTCATATGTGCATACAAGGCTTGGTTCATTTCTCCCCCCTCTCCCCACCCCCTCCCTATTTTATTCATATGTGCATACAATGTTTGGGTCATTTCTCCACCCTTCCCCCACCCCATCCCTTACCCCCCTACCCCTTCCCTCTTCCCCTCTACCCCCTCGCTACACAGCAGAAACTATTTTGCCCTTATCTCTAATTTTGTTGAAGACAGAGTATAAGCAATAATAGGAAGGAACAAGGGGTTTTGCTAGTTGAGATAAGAATAGCTATACAGGGAGTTGACTCACATTAATTTCCTGTGCATGTGTGTTACCTTCTAGGTTAATTTTTTTTATCTAACCTTTTCTCTAGTTCCTGGTCCCCTTCTCCTATTGGCCTCAGTTACTTTAAAGTATCTGCTTTAGTTTCTCTGCGTTGAGGGTAACAAATGCTACCTAGTTTTTTAGGTGTCTTACCTATCCTCATACCTCCCTTGTGTGCTCTCACTTTCTCATGTGATCAAAGTCCAATTCCCTTGTTCTTTTTGCCCTTTATCTAATGTCCACATATGAGGGAGAACATACGATTTTTGGTCTTTTGGGCCAGGCTAACCTCACTCAGAATAATGTTCTCCAATTCCATCCATTTGCCAGCAAATGATAACATTTCGTTCTTCATGGCTGCATAAAATTCCATTGGGTATAAATACCACATTTTCTTGATCCATTCGTTAGTAGTGGGGCATCTTGGCTGTTTCCATAACTTGGCTATTGTGAATAGTGCTGCAATAAACATGGGTGTGCAGGTGCCTCTGGAGTAACCTGTGTCACAGTCTTTTGGATATATCCCCAAGAGTGGTATTGCTGGATCAAATGGAAGATCAACGTTTAGCTTTTGAAGTAGCCTCCAAATTTTTTTCCAGAGTGGTTGTACTAGTTTACATTCCCACCAACAGTATAAGAGGGTTCCTTTTTCCCCACATCCTCGCCAACACCTGTTGTTAGTGGTGTTGCTAATGATGGCTATTCTAACAGGGGTGAGGTTGAATCTTAGTTTGGTTTTAATTTGCATTTCCTTTATTGCTAGAGATGGTGAGCATTTTTTCATGTGTTTTTTGGCCATTTGAATTTCTTCTTTTGAGAAAGTTCTGTTTAGTTCACTTGCCCATTTCTTTATTGGTTCATTAATTTTGGGCGAATTTAGTTTTTTAAGTTCCCTATATATTCTGGTCTTTAGTCCTTTGTCTGATGTGTAGCTGGAAAATATTTTCCCCCACTCTGTAGGTGTTCTCTTCAGTTTAGAGACCATTTCTTTTGTTGAACAGAAGCTTTTTAGTTTTATGAAGTCCCATTTATCTATGCTGTCTCTTGTTGCTGTGCTGCTGGGGTTCCATTGAGAAAGTTCTTACCTATACCTACTAATTCCAGAGTATTTCCTACTCTTTCCTGTATCAACTTTAGAGTTTGGGGTCTGATATTAAGATCCTTGATCCAGTTTGAGTTAATATTGGTATAGGGTGATATACATGGATCTAGTTTCAGATTTTTGCAGACTGTTAACCAGTTTTCCCAGCAGTTTTTGTTGAAGAGGCTATCTTTTCTCCATCATATATTTTTAGCACCTTTGTCAAAGACAAGTTGGTTATAGTTGTGTGGCTTCATATCTGGGTCCTCTATTCTGTTCCACTGGTCTTCATGTCTGTTTTTGTGCCAGTACCATGCTGTTTTTATTGTTATATATTTGCTGAGGCTTGCTTTGTGCCCTAGGATATGATCTATTTTGGAGAAAATAGACTCATGGGCTGCTGAGAAGAATGTATATTGTGTAGAAGTTGGATGAAAAGTTCTGTAGACATCAAGTAGGTCCATTTGATCTATGGTATATTTTATATCTAGGATTTCTTTATTGATTTTTTTGTTTGGATGACCTATCTATTGATGATAATGGGGTGTTAAAGTCTCCCATGACCATGTGTTGAAGTTAATATATGCTTTTAGGTCCTTTAGGGTATATTTGATGAAATTAGATGCATTTACATTGGGTGCATATAGGTTGATAATTGTTATTTCCTTTTGGTCTATTTCCCCTTTTATTTTCATGGAATGTCCTTCTTTATCGTGTTTGATCAATGTACGTTTGAAGTCTGTTTTGTCAGAGATAAGTATTGCTACTCCAGCCTGTTTTCAGGGGCCATTGTCTTGGTAAATCTTCTTCCAGCCTTTCATCCTAACCCTATGCTTATTTCTGTCAGTGAGATGGGTCTCTTGTAAGCAACAAATTGTTGGATTTCCTTTTTAATCCTGTTCGTCAAATGGTACCTTTTGATGGGGGAATTTAGTCCATTAACATGAAGTGTTAGTACTGATAGGTATGTAGTGATTCCTGTCATTTAGTTGCCTTAGTTGTTTGAAGGTTTGATTGTGTGTACCTAAGTTGAGGTACTTTCTTGCTTTTTCTTTTCCTGTAGTTTGGTGCTGCCTGCCCTTTCATGGTTATGTTGGGTTTCACTTTCTGTGTGCAGAATCCCTTGAAGAATCTTTTGTAGTGGTGGCTTTGTGGTCACATGTTGTTTTAGTTCCTGCTTATCACGGAAGACTTTTATTGCTCCATCTATTTTGAATGACAGTTTTGGTGGGTAGAGTATCCTAGGGTTGAAGTTATTTTCATTCAGTGCCCAAAAGATCTCACCCCATGCTCTTCTTGCTTTTAGTGTTTCTGTTGAGAAGTCTGCTATGATTTTGATGGGTTTATCTTTGTATGTTATTTGTTTTTTCTCTCTTACAGCCTTCAATATTCTTTCTCAGATCTCTGCGTTTGTTG